ATTTTAGAGAAGGTTCCATGTGGCGCTGAGAAGAAGGTAAATTGTTTTGTATTTGGGTGGAATGTTCTATAGATATCTGTTAAGTCCAATTGTGCCATAACTTCTATTAGTTCTTTTGTTCCTTTGTTGTTTCTTTCTGGTGTTCCTGTCCAGTGGTGAGAGTGGGGTGTTGAAATCTCCCGCTATAAGTGTGTGCGGGTTTTATGTGTGATTTGAGTTTCAGTAAAGTTTCTTTTACAAATGTGGATGCCTTTGTATTTGGGGCATAAATGTTCAGAATTGAGACTTCATCTTGATGGATTTCTCCTGTGATGAGTAGGAAATGACCTTCTTCATCTCTTTTGACTGATTTTAGTTTAAAGTCCAATTTGTTGGATATTAGGATTGCTACCCCTGCTTGTTTCTTGGGTCCATTTGATTGGAAGATCTTTCCCCAACCTTTAATTCTCAGGTACCGTCTGTCTTTGAGGTTCAGGTGGGTTTCTTGTATGCAGCAGAAGGAAGGATTCTGTCTTCTTATCCATTCTGCTAATCTGTGTCTTTTTATAGGGGAGTTAAGACCATTAATGTTGATGGATATTAATGACCATTGATTATTGTTCATTCTTGTTAGTTTTTGATTTGGAGATGGTGGCAAGATTATGTGTGGGATTCTATCCCTTTTTGCTTTTGGCTGTTCTTTCAGAGATCCTGAGTTCAATTCCCAGCAACCACATGGTGGCTCACAACCATCCGTTCTGGCGTGCAGGCATATATGGAGGCAGAATGCTGTATACATAATAAATGAATAAAATCTTTAAAAAAAAATCAAGTTTCCCAACATAGAAAAGCCCAGGATTAGATAGATGCATGATTCACTATTGAACTCTACCAAACTTTTTTTTTTTTTTTAAGAGACTAGGTCCGTCTATGAAGTCCTAGGTGTCCTGAAACTCTTTGTAAATCCGACTGGCCTTGAACTCAGAGATCTGTCTGCCTCTGGGTCTCCAGTGCTAGGATTAAAGGTGTGTGCCACAACACCTGGTTTGTTCTCTTTCTGTCTTTTTTTAATTAATTTATTTTTTAAGATTTTTTTATTTTTTATTTTATGTGCAATGGCATCTCCCGTGTTCATGTGAGTTGTTGGATCCCTTGGGACTAGAATTACAGACAGTTGTGAGCTGCCACGTGGTGCTGGGAATTGAACTCAGGTCCTCTGGAAGAACAGCCACTAAGCTGTCTCTTCAGTAACAAAGTAACAGTATACATATACTATCACCATGCACTATCAAGCTGGCTATGCAAAGCCAGCTTTCTCTTGATACCAAAACCACACAGATACAATGAAAAAAGACAACTAGGAAGCAGTTCTTTTGATGAACATAGATTTAAAAGGCCTCCAGATTCTTAGAAATGGAGGTTAAGAACATATTCAAAAGATCACAAACCACAACCAAGTTGGTTTCATTGCAGGGATGTGAGGTTAGTTCTGCACATGCAGGTCAGCAAGTGTAACAGAGCATACTTAGACATATAGACATAAGGGCAAGCTGCAAGGTCATGTTAATTCAGAAAAGACCTTCAGCGTCCTTCATGATACAAGCCCTGTGGAAATGTGTAACAGAAGGAAAATACCTCACCATAATAAAGGTATTTTTTGACACACCTAAAGCTGACACTGTCCTAAATGGAAAGAACCTGAGTTATTTCCCCCTAGATTTTCTGTTTGGTTGGTTTTTCTCTTGGGGGGAGGTTGTTTTGTTTTTTTGGTTGGTTATTTTTCTGAAGCAGGGTGGCCCTGGCTGGCCTGCAACTGGCTCCAACTCACTGAGATCCACCTTCCTCTGTCTCCCAAGTGCTGGGATTAAAGGCGTGCACCACTTCCACTGGCTTTGTTTGTTTTTAAAACAGGATATCACATTTAACCTTGACAGGCCTTGAACCTATCATGCTGACCAGGATGGTCTCAAACTCGTAGAGATCTGCCTTGTTTTGCCTCCTGAGTGCTGGGATTAGTGGTGTATGTTACTATCCCCAGCTCAATATAGCTTTTATGCTGAAGAACTGGAGAAATGGTTCAGTGAATAAAGCACTTTCCACTAAGCCTGACAAGTTAGAGCCTCAGAATCCACATGATGAGAGTTTGAAAAAAATCACTTACACGTGGTGGTGGTGGTGGTGGTGGTGGTGCACACCTTTAATCCCAGCACTCCGGAGGCAGGAAGGCAGATCTCTGTGAGTTCATGGCCAAACTGGTCTACGGAGTGAGTGCCAGGATAGCCTCCAAAGCTACACAGAGAAACCCTGTCCAAAAACAAACAAACAAACAAACAAAAAACAAAAACAACAACAACAACAAAAAAAAACTTTTAGGGAAAAATCTCAGTTGAATAGATGCTTACATGTTTGAAGCCCTGGGTTTAATCCCTAGCAACTATTTTGCTTTTTTAAAACAGAAAAACAAATCAAGCAGGGTGGTAATGCTTGTAACCTCAGCCTGTGGGCAGGCAGAGGGGTCAGAGATCCAACACCATCCTCAGCTTCAGAGCAGATTTGAGGCCAGCCTGGGTTACACCAGTCCTTGCTTAAAAATAAATGAGAACACAAATGACGATGTGTGTTGCAGAGGATGTGGAGGAAGAGCAGTCCTTCAGCCCTTAGACATTGTGATAGGAATGTAAACCTGGACTGTGGAAATCAGGATGCAGCTTTAGGGGGAAAATGTATAACCCAGCAGTACTGCTTTTAGCTTTATTCCCAAATAGCTTTTTTAAAGGTGTGTGTGTGTGTGTGTGTGTGTAATTAAGTGTAAGTTCTCTCTGGAGGCCATAAGAAGGCATTGGGTTCCTTGGAACCACCTAGTGAGACTCTTGGTCAAATAGTTAATAAAGTAAAAACAAATTCACCGGGCATGTTGACTCTGTGTGTTGCCGTAATCCCAGAACTCAGGAGGTTAAGGCAGGAAAATTCAAGGCCCATGTACTGAGTTCAAAACAGTAAAACAAAAACAAACAAACAAACAAAAAAACCAAACAAGTAATTCCTCCTACCCAAGGGTAAAATACGAATCTCCGTTTCAGGCTCTGGGGCTTCTCCAAATGCTGGCACCCTCTAAGTGCATGTCTTTGTCTCCGACTGCCCATTATTACCTTCTTAGTCTTGGCCCTGCTCTTTCTTCTCCTAGGCGGATCGTCGATACCAAAGCCGGCTACAGGATCTGAAAGACCGCTTGGAACAGTCTGAGAGCACCAACCGCAGCATGCAGAATTATGTCCAATTCCTCAAGTCCTCCTATGCCAACGTATTTGGGGATGGCCCTTATACATCCTCTTATCTGACGAGCTCACCCATTCGCTCCCGATCTCCCCCTGCCTGAGGCCACCTGTCCAGAGTCTAAAGCCCTTGCCTGATGCCAGGAACTGAGGAGTTGCCATCCTATAGCTGGCAAGCCCACTGGCTTTCTCTTCTAGTGATCAAATGTGCTCAGGGTCTGTTCCTCCACTCCTAATCCCAGGAAAGCCCCCAGGGCAGCTAGAGATGAATAAGGAAGAACATAGTTCTTTCCTTGTCTGTGAGCCTGGTAGGATTTGAAATGGTCTTCACAGGCCTTATATTTGCTACATTAGGTACCAGATTTTTAAGTCCTTGTGATTTTTCAGAGTCTGCTTCCTTTCCTCTAGGGATTCAGGATGAACTTTCCCTGCATTCTTCTTCCAACCCTCACCTTGCTATGCATCCATGTCTTTGGTTTATCTGAGCTGAAGTAGCAGGAGTCTTCCTTGGACTAAGAAACACCTAAATCACCCTTTCCTTTTTTTAAGTTTATTTTTATTCTATTTTACTAAAAATAAAACTTTATGTGTATCAAGAAATAGTGAAATCAGATAAATTAGTAACTGAGTGAGTCTCTGCTTCTATCAGCATAAAAGTCAAATGGAGTCAGAAAGATGTAACATGTTCTCCTAGAGTGATTAATGGTCACAGCTCCCTTTGCTCCTTTGGAATCTGTAGCTGCAGATGTCATGAAGTGGAGTAGTCACAGCTACAGTAGTCAACTATGAATTGTTTCAGCACAAAGCTAACAGCAGCAAGTGTGCTCACATCAATGTATTCTGTTTTCATGGTGCTGTTAACACTTTAAAAAAAAATACTTTAATTCATCACCTCTTATTGGCAAGGAAAATATGCAGTGCTTCAGGAATTTTTGTGTCATGCTTGAGCAGAGACCATGCTAATCTGTGTTCTGATTTTACTATATGTGCTGATGAAGTGAGCATGCTTTTTCCTTCTTGATGGGTAAGGCAGGAATTGCTGTTGTCTGTAGCGCCAATGGACACCTCCCACGTCTGCATTTCCTAGAAGCCACCTGTCCCCACCACTTCACAAAAGCTAATGTCCATCTGGCTTACAAGTATAATTCTAATCTCATTGCTTTTCTTTTCTCTTTGAACCTCTGAAATTCACTTATTTTTGAAATTTTTGCGTGATTTTATTAGAAATAAAGTTTTATAATTGGTTATGTAAAACTCCTTTGATTTCCTTTATCCTTCTCTCCTCACTTTAAAAAAGATTTAGCTTAGCCGGGCATTGGTGACACACGCCTTAAATCCCAGCACTGGGGAGGCAGAGGCAGGTGGATCTTTGTGAGTTTGAGGCCAGTCTGCTCTCCAGAGTGAGTGCCAGGATAGGATCCAAAGCTACACAGAGAAATCCTGTCTCAAACAAACAAACAAAAAGATTTAGCTGGACAAAAATTGTTTTTACTGGGTTGTGGTGGCACATGACTTTAATCACAGCACTTGGAAGACAGAGGCAGGCAGATCTCTGTGTGTTCCAAGCCAGCCTGGTCTACAAAGTGAGTTCCAGGACAGCCAGGGCCACACAGAGAAACCCTGTCTCAAAAAAAAAAAAAAAAAAAAAAAATTTAGCTTCGAGTAGTAATGCACCCCTGTCATCCAGTGACTTGGGAGGTGGTGGCTAGAGTTCAGGGTTATCCACAGCTACAGTGAGTTGAAGTCAGCCTGGGTTACATGAGACTATGTCTGAATAAAAACGATATTTTAAATTATTTAATAAAATGCATGCGTCAGGTGGTGTTGGTGCTCGATTTTAACCCCAGCACTCCTGAGACAGAGGCAGTCAGATTTTTGTGAGTTGGAGGACAGCCTGGTCTACAGAGTGAACTACCTGATAGCTGAAGGCAAGGCACTTTCTCAGGCATTACAATTCAGGGTGTTGGGAGGATCACCGTAACAGAATAGATAGGTGTGGGATGTGCCTGTATTTATATTAAATGCTATCTGCTTTCTACATGATAAGATTTTGGGCCATTTTATATTTTCCTGTATTTGAAAGAGTGAATGGTATGCAGTACTTGCTTAGTTTGTGCACATGTGCAAGAACCTAGGGTTTTGCTTTTGATTGATTTTTAAGTTGGACTCATGTATTTTATGTGTGAATAGCCTGCATGTGTATATATACTGTGTAACTGTGTTCTTGGTGCTCTCTGAGGTGAGAAGAGAGCATCAGAGTCCCTGATACTGGACTTATGGGTGGTTGAGAACCACCATGAGTGCTGGAATTGAACCCAGGTCCTCTATAAGAGCAGCAAGTGCTCTTAACTACTGAGCCATCTCTCTAGCCCCAAGGGCCTAGATTTGATCCCAGGACCCCTTACCCCATCACTACCATCATGAACCAAAACCCACAAATGATACAAAACAAAGCCTGTTCTTCAAAGAGATCACAAAAAACAAAACAAAACAAACAAACAAACAAAAACCTGGCATTGACCTGAGTTCTAGGCTTGACTATTCTCTTGTTATTTCTATTGCTGGAATAAAACACCAAGACCAAGGCAATTTATGAAAGAATTTAGCATGAAAAATAAAAGACCCAGAGATAGATATTTGGGTTTAAGCTTCAAACTAAAGATCAGAAAAAGCCAGAGCGGCAATGCTGAAAAGGGAGTTCTACCAGAAGATGAGGAGCTAGCTGCACCTGAATCTCCCCTACCATCGTTGTCTGAGATCTGACACTGTGAACCAAAATAAATTCTCCCTCTGTTACAGTATTCCTGGCGGATGTTGTCACAGCAATATGAAGATATCTCAACGGAGTGTGAACAATGGCGTGCATCTTTACCACAGCATGAAGAATATGCAGCCCATCACCCAGACGCTAGCTACTGGAGGGGCATATGTGACCTGACATTTCATGCTAGTTTTTAATTTTTTCTTTTATTCCTTTGCTTTATATTTTGGGTTAACATTGTAAAATATTAAGTAAATTGGTAATGTCTTTCGTTTAATGAAAAGGGAAAAAGTAATTACACATGGGAGGGTGTATATTTTGAAAGCACCAGCTTTCAAATATATACTTAGATTTAATGTGACACTGGTCTACATGGGAGTCTTCTGCCTCCTAATGGCCTGGTTCTCCTGCAACTACCAAGTACAGAGGAAGCTGTTCTTCCTGCAACACAGACTGTCCACTGTGGGATCAAATGGAGCCGAATGCTTAGAAGATATTTAACTACAAGGGAGACATACAAACATTATAAAAAAAAAAGTGTATCTCTTGTTTTATCCTGGGCATAATAGCAACAGGGTGCCTACTGGTCCTGAGATCAAAATTTCTCCCCAAGTAACCAACTTCCTGTGTGAAGATATAGTTAGCAAAATGTTTCCTGGAGTAGCAGCTGTAGTAGTGAAAAGCCGAGAGCAGAGGGTCTTTGCTGAGTAATCTTGGCTGTACCCAGGCACGTAGAACATGATACACCAAAATGTATCTAAATCTGTGGGTGTGGTAAGATATTAATGACAGATTGGTAAGTGACTAAACAGAATAAAATATGCATATATGTGTATGTAGTCAACGAAAGTTCTGCTCTTGCAGAGGACCTTAATTTATTAACGTGGCCTGGAGAGATGTAGGAGTACCCACTGTTCTGGCCCACATTACATAGTAGTTCATAACCACCAGAAACTCAATCCTGCTGCTGGGACCTTCAATTCCTCTGGCTTTAGGAGGCCCCTACACTCAACGTGTAGTCAGATTTTCTTTGGACTACCAGAACCCAAATAATGACACAGATTTCTTATTAACCATAAATACTTGGCCTTAGCTTGGGCTTGTTCACAACTAGCTCTTTTAAATTAACCTATTTCTATGAATCTACATCCTGTAGCTCATTACCTCTTATTCTTACTGTATGCCCAACTCTTCCATGTCTGGCTGGAGAAAACCCACATGCCTCAGATTCTTCCCGAATTCCTTTCTCTCCCTGGGAGTAAAGAGAGTAAAAAGAGCAAACAGCAGGGAAGTTGTTATTTTTAAAGGGAAGACTGCGCATGTGCACTGAGGTTCCATGCATGCCCAGAGTCCACAGCAGAGCAGGCCGTAATGCGTGGCGGGTGATGTGGTGATGACATAGCAAAAGTTTTCCTGTGCGTGTCCTGACTGTTGTCAGGGGCCAGGGTTTGTCTCTTAAAGAGATATTGCTTATCAGTACTAAAGCCTGAACCTTTCACCATGGATCCACTGAAACTGAAGTTTCCATTGTGAGCTGCTATGTGGGTGCTGGGAACTGAACCACTGTCCTCTGCAAGAGTGGCAAACACTTTTTTTTTTTTTCCTCCTGAGACAGGGTTTCTCTGTGTAGCTTTGGAGCCTGACCTGGAACTCTCTCTGGAGACCAGGCTGGCTTCAAACTCACAGAGATCCACCTGCCTCTGCATCCCAAGTGCTGAGTTAAAAGGCATGTGCTGCCACTGCCCAGCTGTATTAAGCACTCTTAAACCTGAGCCATCCCTCCAGGAAAAATATTGCTTATCTTCTTGAGTTTCTCTCCTACCTCAAACAGATGTCACAGAGTCATGGGCAGTACAAGATGGAGAGCATCCGTCCAAGCCAGCTCTGGGCAGTTGTGATCTTCAGTGAAATTGCATTTGGATTCAACCATGTGTGGAGCTTTAAGGGAGGCTTAAGTGAGACCTATTAAAACTCTACGGTAAAGTGAAGGTTTTTTGTTTTTTAGCATATTTACCAAGGTGTGGTTATTACCATGATCTTATTCTAGTTCATTCTCATGAACTCCAAGAAATTCCTTCTGCATTTGCAGTGACTCGATGTCCCACTTCTGCCTCTGGCTTGTCCTGACAATCTCTAATGTCTCTGGATTTTTTTACTCTGGACACCTCACATAAAGGGAATTATATACTGTGTTCTCGCCTTCAACTTGCTTCTTTTTGTAGTTTTGTTTTTTATTTTTTTCCTTTTTGTTGTTCGAGACCGGGTTTCTCTGTGTAACAGTCTTGGCTGCCCTGGAACTCAATTTGTAGACCAAGCTGGCCTCTGTCTCTCTCTCTCAAATGCTGGGATTAAAGGCATGTGCCACTACCGAGGTGCAACTTGTTGCTTTTACTTAACAAAATGCTTTCAAGGTCTGTGTTACACAATGTACCATTATTTACTTGGGACAGGGGAAGAGTTCCATTGTTCTTCACAGAATAATTTGCCAATTCAGGAGACTGAATTTGGGAGGCTTGCACACTACTATTAACGCCGGTATGAATATTCATGTTCAACTTTTGGTGCGTTTCGTTTCTCTAGCGTAGGCCTTTAAGAAATGATACCTCCGTTTAGCTTCTCCAGACGGTCAGTCTCTCACAGGAGGGTCCCCCATTGCTAGAAGCACCGCCTCATTTCCGCTTTCTTGCTCGCACAACTGTCTGCGCAGGCGCAGGTGTTGACAAGTGGGCGGTGCGCCGCTGACGGGCGGTGTCTGCGACCGTTACGGCGGGGTTGCGCCGGATGTGGGGCGGGAGCCCCGGAAGCGGAGGCTTGCGCCTCCTCGGCGGCGGATTCGAGGGTTTGTTTTGTTGGGAGAGTTTTCTGATGCGCTGCTGGTGACCCGCCATGCCGTCCGAGGGTCGCTGCTGGGAGACTCTAAGTGCGCTGCGGAATTCCAGCAAAGGCCGCCTGCGCTACCACCGCGAGTGGTTGATGCACTACGAGGTAAGCAGCGGCCGGCGTCGCGTGTTCAGCGCTCTTCCTCGAGGCGGGCGCGGAGGACTCGGCGTGGCGATGGGCAGCATTGCTTTGACTCCTGTGCACACAGCTTTCTCCGGCCTCTGTAGTTCATCTGCGTCCCCTCCACTTCACGGGAAGCCTTCTGCCCAAAGGCATCACTGTCACCCCAGTCCCGGGTGGGGCATCTTGTAGCAGCTCCGGCCTTTCAGTCTGTCCTTCTGCTTTATATTCCACTTGTTAGGACAGTGGCTCTCAGTCTGTGGGTCTCGACCCCTTTGGGTAGTCGAACGACCTTTTCACAGGGGTCACCCAAGACCACCAGAAATCAGACTATTTGCATTACGATTTGCAACAGTAGCAAAATTACAGTGATGAGGGAGCAACGAAAACAATTCGTTGGAGTCACCAGAACGTGAGGAGCTGTATTTAAGGGTCGCAGCATTAGAAAGGTTGAGAACCACTTCACGGAGTTCCATGTTTCTCGGAGAGCGGTCGATTTGACCTAACTCTAGCTGCCAATGAGATGACCACCTTTTTATATTACTAGCAGACCTGTGAAGGGGGGTCGTGGTTCCTATAACTAGTATTTGAAAACCTCTTCCGGAATACTTGTTGGTTGCCGTTCTAATTAATGATACACATTTGCCTGCTCACTGCCTGAGTTTTGTATTACAGGCTTGAACAACTATATCCAGTGATAAGATACCTTTGGACTCCATGATAGTTTACTTGAAATTTTCTCACGGGCTGTATTTTGTTTGATGTTTTACTTTGCTTTCATACTTGCCTTAGTGAGGACCAGTGAGTTGTCTCAGCTAGTAAAGACACTTGCTACACGAGCCTGGAGATGTGACTTCAACCCCTGGAACCTAAGTAAAGTTGGTTGTGACCCCCAACCAGAAAATTATTTTGTTGCTACTTCATAACTGTAATTTTGGGGCTGGAGAGGTGACTAAGCTGGCTACTCTTCCAGACATCCTAAATTCAATTCCCAGCAACCACATGATGGCTCACAACCATCCGTAATGAGATATAGTTTTGTACATAATACATAAATCTTAAAAAAAAACACTGTAATTTTACTACTGTTATGAATCTCAATATAAATACGTGATATGCAAGATACCTGATATGTGACCCCAAAGGGGTTGTGACCTGTGGGCTGAGAAATGCTGCTTTTGGGAGTGGGTGATTGAAAGTCTTTTGTAGCTGAGGATTGCTTTTAACTCCTGACACTGCTTCCCTATTGTTAAAATTAGAGGCATGTGCAAGCCCATCTGACTTTAGTCTGACAATTTATTTATTTATTTTTGGTTTTTCGAGACAGTGTTTCTCTGTGTAGCTTTGGAGCCTATCCTGGCACTTGCTCTGGAGACCAGGCTGGCCTCGAACTCACAGAGATCCGCCTGTCTCTGCCTCCCGAGTGCTGGGATTAAAGGCATGTGCCACCAATGCCTGGCTAGTCTAACATTTTAAAGAAATGTATTCTGGGTCCTCATTAAGAATCCACTTATGAAAAGAAAAGAAAAGAAAAGAAAAGAAAACCACGTACTGCCGGGCATTGGTGGTGCACGCCTTTAATCCCAGCACTCGGGAGACCGAGGCAGTCAGATCTCTATGAGTTCAAGACCAGCCTGGTCTACAAGAGCTAGTTCCAGGACAGCTTCCAAAGCCACAGAGAAAACACTATTGCTGGGTACAGTGGCTTATAATCTCAGAGCTTCCTAAAGGTGATCCTTAATTTTTTTTTTTTTGGGCGTGCACCACCAACGCCAGGCGGTGATCCTTAATTTGATACCCTGTATCAAAAATGAAAAGTGGAAGAAAGAAAAGCCTGCTTTGCTTTCATCTCTGGTTGTGTTTTTTTGAGGGGATGGTGTTTTCACGACAGAGTTTCTATGTGGCTTTGGAGGCTGTCCTGGACCTAGCTCTGGTAGACCAGGCTGGTCTCGAACTCACAGAGATCCGAGTGCTGGGATTAAAGGCGTGAGCCACCACTGCCTAGCCATCTCTGGTTGTTAATGCAATTACTTTATCTACAGTATAACTTATTTGTTTGGGCTCTCAGTTATTGAGCAATGCATTTAATGTCTTATATTAGTGGACATAAAAATAGTCTTAACCTTCTTCTTAGGATGTGTTGGAAGAATGCACATCTCTTCCCAAACTGTCTTCTTACTCTGGATGGGTGGTAGATCACATCCTACCCAACACCTCACCCCACCTGCAAGAGAACTCTCCTTCTGATAATTCACCATCCTCTGGATCTGCTTCAGGCCTGGACCAACCCTCCCTTCTTAAGTCTCCTGTCAGAAGCACCCCGGAACCCCCCTCACCTTCAACACCAAATGGAACCAAGGTTGGCTGCAAAATTGAAGTGTTTATGTCAAAATTGAAGTTTAATGTCACATGACAGTCACATTACCCTGGGGAAATGATTGTTTCCTATTGTAGCTGTTTGTAGGAACAGTATTTTTTTTTTCCCCGAGACAGGGTTTCTCTGTGTAGCGTTGGAGCCTATCCAGGCACTTGCTCTGGAACCAGGCTGGCCTCGAACTCACAGAGATCGGCCTGCCTCTGCCTCCCGAGTGCTGGGATTAAAGGCGAGCGCCACCAACACCCGGCCTAGGAACAGTATTTACCATATCACCCAATGTTCTTGTGTGTGTAGATGTATGCATATGTGTGTGGAGGCCAGAGATCAGCTTTGGGTATTTATTCTCCAGGGCGTTCACCTTGTTTTTCAAGACAGGGTTTTGTTTTTCTAGACTGGGTTTTTGGTGTAGCTTTGTAGACCAGGCTGGTCTCCAACTCACAGAGATCTGCCTGCCTCTGTCTCTGGAGTGCTGGGATTAAAGGCATGCACCACCACCAACCGACCACCTTGATTTTTGAGACAGTGTCTCTCATTGGTCTGAAGCTCATTAATTAGTATTAACTGGCTGGCCAGTAGTCCCAGGAATCCTCCTGTCTCTCTTCTCCAGTGTTGGAATTATAAGTACTTGCCACCAAGCCAGTTTTATATGGATTTTTGGGATCAAATATTAGGCCTTCCTGTTTGCACTTTACCTACTAAGCTATCTCCCCAAACCAAGAAGAAACATCATTTATTAAAGAAAACCAGTTTGACACCAGGTGTGGTAGGGCACACCTTTAATTGAAACACTTGGGAGGCAGAGGCAGGTGGATCTCTGTGAGTTCAAGGCCAGCCTGGTCTACAAATTATAGGACAGCTAGAGCAACATAGTGGAACTCTGTCTCAAAAAAGGAAGAAAAGTATTGTGCTTCTTGACCTTTTGGGAAAGATCAAATGTAAATCAACTAGGGCCAGAAATGGAGAGAGGGAGAAGAGGGAGGAACAAAATTGACATCATGAAAAACAGTGGTTCTAATCTGTTTGCTGCTCTAGTTGGCAGTGTGAACCTGGGAGAGTGGGCCCAAAAAATAAGGCAGAGTCATGTAATAAAATAAGTAAAAGTAAGTCAGTCTCATGTAATAGTCAACTTTATTCAGAGCATTAGTCAGTTTATATTCTGAAGGTTAAGAAGACTCACCCGAGTAAGGTGTTCAATCACAAAGATGAGCCACATGTGGCAGAAACGTGTTTTTCTGTAGAGACATAAACATGTCTGAAATAACTCACTCCTATCTGCTACATGTGGGGTAGGCAGGAAAGCACATTCCAAGAAAAATTTTTGTGCTTTGAAGAAGTTGAGGTCATAAGATCATGTTTTCTTGGAGATTTCTCACAAGCACTCAGAAATCCCCTCGCACAACTTGTATGGTGTTCTGACACTAAGCTAAATTATTTTCATTATTGGTTCCTAAATTGGACAAGTTAGGGTTTGGCACTCAAGCGTACCTCAAAGGATCCTGTGTTTAACTTTGACCCCCCCAGGCAGCAACATTGAAAGGTGAGGCTTTTGGGAAGAGATTGGCTCATTATCTTCAGTAGATTAATCCATTGATGGGCCCATCATCCGATAGGGTATCAGGTTGGGAACGTAGTAGGTGGCAACAATTTGAAGGGAGTAGGTCCTTGTTGGCTAAATCTAATCCCAGGCCCCTCCCTTCTCTTTCCTTTGCTTCCCAGCCACCTTGAGGTGGCTCCTCAGGGCTTTTTACCTTTCTTTCATTCTGTATGTCCTACTTTTCCTGTTTCCTCCATGTCTATCTGTCCCCTGGTGTCTCCCTCATTTCTCTCTCTCTCTCTCTCTTTCTCTATCTCTATCTCTCTATCTGTGTGTGTCTGTCTCTTTCCTCTTTCTATTCTCTCTGCCCACCAGCCCGCCTATTCTTCTACTTCCTAGCTATTGACTGTTCAGCTTTTTGTTTTGTTTTGTTTTTCGAGACAGGGTTTCTCTGCGTAGCTTTGGCGCCTATCCTGGCACTCGATCTGGAGATCAGGCTGGCCTTGAACTCATAGAAATCACACTGCCTCTGCCTCCCGAGTGCTGGGATTAAAGGCTTGCGCCACCAACGCCCGGCCCGACTGTTCAGCTTTTTATTAGACCAATCTGGTGCCTTTTGTAGGCAGAACAACACATCTTTACATCATTAAACAAATGTAACACATTTTTACATAGTTAAAGTAATATTCTGTAATAAGTGAATCAGTTGCCATGTATAGAAACTTCTGAGTTGGGAGCCAAAATAAATCTTCATTTTGGATTATTATCTAGGAAAAACACCTAGAAAACCACAGTAACAGAAAGACATGATCTTTGTCTATAAAAGGCAACACAAGTTTACTGTGTTGAAAGCTCATTTATTTATTTTCATCTTCTGTTCAGAGCACATATGAGTCCCAGCACACAGAACCTATTGCTCTTCTGTCCTCCCGAGCAATCAAAGTGGAAGGCTGCATCAGAATGTACGAATTGGTGCACAGAATGAGAGGAACGGTAAGTGAGACCATAAGGCAAGGAAGACTTGGCACTAGAGAGAAACCCTTCACTAGATCCACCCCTCCCTTTGGGGGGAGCTACCCACTACATTTGACACCCACTGAAAACTCACTTTGGAGACAGTATGATATAAAGGTCAAAAGTGAATACTCTCAAGTGAAATCTGGTTTCATTTTCTGGCTGTTCTAACTTCAGGAAAATTACTTAGGCTTTCCTATATTACATTTAATACTCCAAAATTTGCAGATGGTATAGATGTGTCAGATATGTTTATATTATGACAGTTGTATTTTAGCTTCTGAAAGAACAGCACTATTTTAATTAATTTGACTTAGGGAATACTTCTATCTTGTAAAATTAAGTTTTGCCTGAGTCTATAATTGAAAATACAGAAAATTAAGATCATTAAAAATGGGCTGGCTGGGGCTGGAGAGATGGCTCAGAGGTTAAGATCACCGACTGCTCTTCCAGAGGTCCTGAGTTCAATTCCCAGCAACCACATGGTGGCTCACAACCATTGATATCTGGTGCCCTCTTCTGGTGTGCAAACATGGAAGCAGAATGTTGTATACATAATAAATAAAGTCTTTTTTTTTTAAAAAAAAAAAAAAAGGGCTGGCCGAGGGTGTGGGGGTGTAGTAGGTGGTGGTAGTGTCGAATGCTGTTACTCCCAGCATTCTGGAGGCAGACACAGGCAGATCTCTGTGAGTTCGAGGTCAGCCTGGTCTGCAGAGCTAGTTCCAGGATAAGCTCCAAAGCTACACAGAGAAATCCTGTCTCAAAAAAAAAAAAAAAAAAAAGGAGAGAGAGAGAGAGAGAGGCTGGAGAGATGGCTCAGAGGTTCAGAGCACTGGCTGCTTTTCCAGAGGACCTGAGTTCAATTCCCTGTAACCACATGATGGCTCACAACCATCTGTAAAGAGATCTGGTGCCCTCTTCTGGCCTTCAGGGTATATGTAGGCAGAACACTATACATAACAAATAAATCTTTTTTTTTTTTTTAATTTTTATTTAGTTTTACTTTATGTGCATTGGTGTTTTGCCTGCATGTGTATCTGTGTAAGGGTGTTAGGTCCCCTGGAACTAGAGTTACAGACATCTGTGGGCTGCCATGTGGGTGCTGGGAATTGACCCAGGTCCTCTGGAAGAGCAGTCAGTGTTCCCAACCACTGAGCCATCTCTCCAGCTCAAACAAATAAATATTAAAAAAAAAAAAAAATGGCAAGAGCACTTGCTCTGTAAGCATGAGGACCTGCCCTCAAATCCCTAATACCCAAAGAGAAAGCTAGTCATGGCTGTATATGCCTGTAGCTCCAGCATTAGGGGAGAGATAGTCACATGCCCACTTTTAGTCAAATGGTGAGCATCTGGTTCACTGGTAATTAGAGTAATAGAGGAAGACACTTGACATCTTGCTGTGTAAATGTATACACACAACACAATACATATACCACTACCCGCCGCTGCCGCCACCACCACCACCCCCACACACAGGCGGGCAGGCACGACTGGAAATAAGCTCAACTGATAGAGTTCTTGGTTAGCCTGCACAAAGTCATGGACTTAGTCAGTCCCTGGAAGCATATAAAACTGGGCCCATGTGCATATTACCCAGCACTAGGAAGTTGGGAGACAGATAGAATTTAAAGGTCATCCTTAGCTACAGAACAAGTTTGAAACTGGCAGGTGCTACATGATTCTGTCTAAAGAAAAGAAAAAAAATCCTTCTAAGGACAAGTGATCCTACACAGCTCTTGAGAAGCAAATAGGTGGTTCCGTGCTCTGGAGTCTCCCAGGTTCTAAGGACTGAGGTAGTGGTCAAGGAGCACATGAGCCAGATGGCTATGGCACACCAAAAGCAGGTGCTGATCCTTTTCAGGAGGGCCTGAGACAGTGGCAGGAGGAGCAGGAGAGGAAGGCACGAGCCCTCTCAGAGATGGCATCTGAACAACTAAAGAGGTTTGATGAGCTGAAGGAACTGAAGCTGCATAAGGAATTCCAGGACTTACAGGAAGTGATGGAGAAGAGGTGAGTCTTCCTGGGTGGCTGCTGCAAATGTGTGTGGTCAGCTTGATTGCCTCTCAGAGAAATCCCAAGGTGAAAGTCAGCTCTTAAATATCAAAATAAAACAGGCAAAGAAGTTTACTGCTAGAAGAGTGACCAACCTTGAGAAGAGGCCTAATGTGTGACAATAAGGGGGAGGGAAAACTTGTCTTAGGAGACTTCCCTGACTGTGGAGAACCTTGAATTAAGATAACTTAATAACAGCCATCTTGTCTTCTTTCTGCTATTTTAAAGACTAACCTCTACTTAAGCTTCTGTTTCTCCTTAACTGATCTCTTTTCCTGTAACTCACTCCCTCTGCAGTTAGGGACTCTCCCACCAGGGTCTTATGGCCTAGCAACACACCCTACCGTCCTTTCCCGCCCTAAGGCGACTTAAACCCTGTTGGTGTATTCAATAAACGAGACTTGATGAGAATACTGTCTTGTCTCCGTCTCTCGCGTCTCTTGTCCCCCCCATTCTCATTCCCTCCCCTAGGGTCCCCATTAACTGATCCCATGGGTGGGGCACCTGACTCTGCCTTATTTATCAGTACCAGAGAAGCCCTGGGGCACCAGGAGAAGCTAAAAGCTGAGCATCGCCACAGAGCCAAGGTCAGTGCCTGGGAGATTGGCATGATTGTACTGGTATGTCTCTAGCCCTCTGAATGTTCATCAGACTGTCAACAGACAGCCATTCTGGAGACCTTAGTCCATAATCATGTGTAGGGAGACACTATAACCAGGCTTCCTAAGAGCTAGCTACAGGTGTGCTTAGCCATGCCTGTCAGGGTGTGGTCAGGGGAGGTTAAGGATGACGCATGGGGAGTTCTTAAGGTGTAGCAGAGATGTGGGAGCTTTCTCTCTCGCCTCCCTAGCTTGCTGCCTCCGGCACGCTCTGGCTTGTACTTGGCCGGTATTACTTGAATAAAGATATCTTAACCTGCACCCTCGGTACAATCATGCTCCTGGATAGCAGCTGTGTAGTAGTTACTTCTTTGATACCTGAGAAGACAAAGGGAAAGGGGATTTTTTTCAGTTACTGGTTTCAGATGGCACAGAAAGCCTCTGCTCTCTGGGTTTCCCCCTTTTTTCCTTCTCCTCCTCCTCGGGGCTCAGCCTGTGGAGATGGAATCACCCACATTTGAGCAGGCCCTCCTCCTTTGTTAATCCTCTCTGAAAACATCCTCAGAAACCTAGAGAGGTGTGATTTGTTACTCTTACTACGTTCTTTTTAAGCCAATCAAGTTGAAATTGCAATTAACCTGTGTATTGTCCTTGGAGTTTATTTCCTGTTCTTAGCCCACCTGTGAAAAGATGTAGCTCACCTAAGATTTGAGCAGCGTGGAAAGGGAGTGGCTCCGCCACTCAGCGACTCAGTGGTCTGTTCAGTAGATTCTCAACCTGAAGCTTCGGGAGGCAGAGCAGCAGCGTGTCAAGCAGGCAGAGCAGGAGCAGCTCCGGAAGGAGGAAGGCCAGGTCCGTCTGCGCAGCCTGTACACCCTACAAGAGGAGGTCCTTCAGCTTAACCAGCAGCTGGATGCCTCCAATCAGCACAAGGACCTGCTGAATGTCGACCTGGCTGCCTTCCAGACCCGGGGCAACCAGCTGTGTAGCCTCATCTCTGGAATCATTCGCACCACTTTGGAGGTAAGGGATTTCAGAATAACTGCTTCAGGTTACAAACAAAGATGGTTAAAGTCAAAATGTATTTTGATTTAAAAATAATGCCTGCCTATTGGAGGAAATACCAGTCATTGCTTGACCAGTGGGTTAAGAGCTAATAACAGAGCTCCCTGGTAAAGCTTTTTCTAGCTTGATATGAGGTCCTGGTAATGTAAAATGAAAACCTAGCAATAAGAGATAAATACATAAAAAAGATTAAATAGGGGCCGGAGAGATGGCTCAGCGGTTAAGAGCACTGAACGTTCTTCCATAGGTCCTGAGTTCAATTCCCGGCAACCACATGGTCTTACAACCACCTTGAGTGAGATCTGGTGCCCTCTGCTGGCATGCAGGCCAAAGACTGTATACATAATAAAATCTTTAAAAAAAAAGAAAAGATTAAATAAATTTTACCTTCATACATTTGTCTTATTCCATATTTTATATTTAAATATAAAGCCAGAGACAAATTAATTATTACGTACAATGGCAAAAAAGGTAAGTAGTTGATAGTAAGCACAAGAAAAACTGAAGTTATAAAGGAAAGTGCTGACATATCTGAGTACATAAAATTTAAAGATACTACAAATCAAGAAAAATTTGTCATCTACACTAAAACTTAATGTTCTTGATTCAAAGAATGCTCTTGAAATTTTTGCAAAAGAATAAACTGCTTTCACTTTCTGCTTTTCTTGTACAAGGAAAAATGAGTAAAGGACAAGACAAGTGGCTTTAAAAAGCTGATCCCCAGAAGGTAGAGGCCTTCTGTTTAGGCTGATGAACCTGAGTTCCTGGCTCACACAAGGTGATAGGAGAGAGCCGACTTGCAAGAGTTCTGTTTTTTGTTTTGTATTGTTTTGTTTTTTCAAGACAGGGTTTCTCTATGACTTTGGAGGCTGTCCTGGAACTCCATCTGTAGATCAGCCTGGCCTCGAACTCACAGAGATCTGCCTGCCTCTGCCTCTGCCTCTTGAGTGCTGGGCTTAAACGCATGCGCCACCAACACTCGACTGCAAAAGTTCTCTGTCTTTCATGCTTGCATCTGTAAGCCCACAAGCACACACACACACACAGTGTAATCTTTTACCAAAAACAAAAGATGAAATAGAATTTTGAATACTTATGAATCACCACTAATAGATGTTTTACAAATTACAGCTTTTTATTTGTTACTGAGGCAATACAGCCCAGGCTGACCTCAAACTCAATGCCTCCTTTTAACTTGTTTTGCTGGATCAAAGACCTGCACCCAGCTCTAATCAGCATGTTTAACTAGCATATTGTTGTAACTCCCACCACCTACCTTTGTTTTTGTTCTTTTTGACTGTGTGTGTGTGTGTGTGTGTGTGTGTGTGTGTGTGTGTGTGTGTGTTTGTGTGTTTCCATGGAGGTTAGTAGTGGACCTGGAGTTCTATGTGGTTGTGAGCCACTTGACAAAGTTGCCAGGAACCAAACCCAGATGATCTGCAAGATTAGCAAGTGCTCTTAACCGCTGAACCATTTCTGTAGCCGCCTGTTTTTTGTTTTGTTTTGTTTTTGTTTTGTTGTTTGTGAGAGGATCTTACGATATAGTCTACATGGCTTCGAACTTAAGGCATTGTTCCTCCTACATCAGCCTTTTGAGTGCTAGGATTACTGGCATATGCACCATATACTTGGTTTTGTCACAAACTTTTTTTTAAAAAGATTGCTCTGGTTGGGTGGTGGTGGCACATGCCTTTAATCCCAGCATTTGGGAGGCAGAGGCAGGTGGATCTCTGTGAGTTCGATGTCAGCTTGGTTTATGGAGTAAGTTCTAGGACAGGCTCCAAAACTACACAGAGAAACCCTGTTTTGAACCACGCCCCAAAAAAAAGAAAGAAAAAAGAAAAAAGGTTGCTCCATTGTTGGTTGCTATGGATGTGATTAGGATAAACCTTTTGTTGTAGTTGTGTGCGTGTGTGCCCGCACACATGTGTGGAAGTCAGAGGACAATTGTGTGGGGTCAGTTCTCTCTTATTGTTGTGGAGGTTCCAGGTATTAAATTCTGTCAGAGTTGCTAAGCAAGTACCTTTACCTACTGAACTATCTCAATGGCAATTTTTTTTTTTTTTTTTTTTTTTTTTTTTTTTTTTTTTTTTTGACGCAGTCTCACTGTGTAGCCCTGGCTTGTCTCAGAGTTGTAGCAATCTTCCTGCCTCTATCTCTCAGGTGCTAAGATCACAGACATGAGTCACCACTCGCAGCTCTATGATAGTAAATCTTTAAGAGAACAGAAAAAGAGTAGGTATCAATATTTGATCATGTAAATACCTTGGTCCAACAGTTTTACTTCAGCAATGTATTGTGTGGTGTGAGTTAGCCCCACAATGGTACCTAGGAAATGAATGTTAAATATTGTCTCTCACTTTGACAGAGTGGTTATCCCACAGCAGAGAACCAAGCTGAGGCTGAGAAAACCCTGCAGGAAATGCGGGACCTCCTCTCAAATTTGGAGCAGGAAATCACCAGAGCCTATGAAGTCAAGAAGAAGCAGGATGAAGAGGAGGCCCGGGCCAAGATGCAAGAATCACAGGTGCAGCAAGGTTCAGGGGCTCCCACCCAGCCCCCAGTGCACAGTCCAGGCCCAGCAGTGACACAGAATGAAGGTAAGTGTGAATGCAGTCCTTCAACTGTTTAAGTGTCAGGATATTTAAGGCAAAACAAACATATGTGTGAGAGACAGAGACAGAGACAACAGAGACACAGACTGAGAGAGACAGAGGGAGAATGTGTTACACTACAGAATGGCCCAGTTCATCAGAATTTTTACATAATGTGTTTTAGTTGATCTGGAACCAATTTCAGATTCTAGCACTTTCCACAGGGACATTAAAAGGCTGTTTATGTCTAATGGGTATGTTATTCCAAATATTGCTACTGCTACGTATTTTATTTTAAAAGAATTGCTTGTAGCTGGAGAGATGGCTCAGAGGTTAAGAGCACCACCTGAGTTTCAGTCATGGCAACCACATGGCAACCCACAACCATCTGTAATGAGATCTGGTTTATATTAAGTATTATGTACAGAGAACCTTGTTTAATATGTTTGAGGATCACATAGCAATGTGTTTAGCCAGACAGTGGAATCTGTTTCTACTTGTATATCAGTTTGACCTTAGCAAACAACCTTTTTGTGTCTGTGTCTTTACTCATTAAATGGAAATAGTAGAAGTCTCTACTTCATAGTTGATTGTGACCACTAAAACAGCCAATGCATAGTGCGGTGCATAGAATAGTCAAAGCTTATGTGGCATGTTAAGTAAGCTCACTGCCATTAAGGCCTGTCTTATTCTCAGACCTGCAGGTGAAGGTACAAGATAGTACCATGCAGTGGTATCAGCAACTTCAGGATGCTTCTGCCAAATGTGTGTTGGCCTTTGAGGGCCTGACCAGCAGCAAGGACAGTCAGGTAGGGGAGAGTTGGATGGCAACAATTCTTGTGGTATGCCCCACAGCCTGAGCCCCACAGCCTGACATTCTAAAAGAATGTACTTATGTCATGTTCCTTCATCCTAAAGGCATGGGCTCAGCTACTTAAAACCATCTGTCATGTCACCATTCTCTTTTGGCAGGCTAAAAAGATAAAGATGGACTTGCAGAAGGCAGCCACCATCCCAGTGAGCCAGATCTCCACCATTGCAGGTGGGTCAATGGTTCACTTCGTTTCATTTTTGCAAACTGATTGCTTTGAGGTTGTTATACAAAGTGTGTTTTCAGGGCTTGGGATGTGGCTTAGTGGCAGAGTACTTGCCAAGTATGAGCAAGGGCCTGGGACCAATCTCTACTCACACACACACACACACACACACACACACACACACACACGCACAGTTCAAATTTGTGTTGGTTGCACACATTTTTTTTCTCTTCAAACAGAAGATTGATGTGATGAGTCCAGTAGTGCAGGTCTGTAATCCCAGCTGGTTGAGGGAAGGCCAGAGGATCATAAATTCAAGAACAACCTGTATGAAGTGTAATGCACTAAGAACTTATCTCAAAAGGAGAAAGTCCGGAGACACTGGGGATGCAACTAGTAGAACACTCAGGCCTGTACTAGGCCTAAGGCAATACTCAGTAGCATAGAAAGAAAAAAATAAATATTTATTGTCTCTCTTTGGAGGGGTTCAAATGATTTTATTGAGAAGCTGGGAGGTGGGGGAGCTAGGTAGGCTCATTTATTTATTTGTATTTGTTTGTTTTAGTTTTTTGAGACATGATTTCTTTATGTAGCCTTGGCTGTCCTGGAACTAGCCTGTAGACCAGGCTGGCCTTGAACTCATGGAGATTCGATCTTTTTATTTTTTTTATGGTGTTGGGGGTTGAACACCACTGAGCTACTGATTCTAATTTGTTTGTTTTATTGAGTTAGTGGGCTAGCTCAGACTGTGTATCCCAGGCTGTCCATGAATCCATCTTAGCTGATGGGTGTTCTTGATTTAAGACATGTGCCACAACCCTTGTCTCATGCATGTTGTTTTAAGGGTTTTACTTCTGTGTCTGTGCAGGTATCTGTATTATGTGAGTAGATGAGTCTATGTGCGAGTGAACCCTTGTCTCATGCGTGTTGTTTTTTGTTTTTGTTTTTTTTTTTTTAAGATTTTATTAGCCGGGTGTTGGTGGCGCATGCCTTTAATCCCAGCACTCAGGAGGCAGAGGCAGGCGGATCTCTGAGGTCGAGGCCAACCTGGTCTCCAGAGCGAGTGCCAGGAGAAGCTCCAAAGCAATACAGAGAAACCCTGTCTCAGAAAAACAAACAAAAAACCCACCACAGGGATGATGTAGATTGTGCCCTCAAGGTCATTTGACCAAACTTACTTAACACCCTCTGTTGCCTTCAGTTCTTTATAGAACAGGTCAGAGCATAATAAACAAACATATAACATATTGAGGAGTTTAAAGTGTGGTTTCCTTTAACAGTGATAGCAGAGGGGATTAACGACTCTTTCCTGTTTATTTTCATTCCTTACCCTCAGTCACTACAGTCTTGCTTCAGCTGCAGCAGGAAAACAGAAGTAGCCTGAACTCCTCAGATGCTGTATTCACTTCTTAGTCTGTTTTAGAGGCTGAGGTGGCCTTGCCCTAGTCAACTCTTCTAAAAGTCTATCTTTGCTCCCATCCTTTCTGTCACCTGCAAGACTTCATTCACTGCTTCTGGCCATTCTCCCTGCTTCCAAAAATGGGTTCTTTTTGTAACTTCTTTCCTTCAGTCTTTAAATGTGCTTGAGTTGCTCAGATCCAGCATCGATTCCCTTGCTCTGCTGCCTTCTACTGAGTTTCTAATCTAGCCAGTGTTTCCATTTGGCCTTTGGACTACAAGCTTCTCTGTGAAACAGCTCCCTGGCTTGTGTGGCAGCACTGCTTCTCAGGTTCTATCCACCCTTCCTACCCTACCCTACCCTACCCTGACTGTAGTGTTTCTTAGGGGCCTGCAGTCACCCAGTTCTATTTATCCTTTGTAATCCCATGGTATCAAACATGACTTTTATACTAGTGACTCTTCACTCTGTCCTGGTTCATTCCTTTCTTCCAAGCTTCAGAGGCAGCTACATTAGGCACTTCTCTGCCTAGATGTGCCTCAACTCCCTCCTAACTAGTTTATCTTCTCTGTGGCTCTTTTCCTCCTGCCAGAAACTTGTAGCAATCTGCATGTTGGTTCCCATTCTGCTGTTAGTCTAGTGAGACCCAGCACTGGAATTAGCACTTAGGAAGGTTGAGTGAGCAGAGGAAAAAAAAAGAACTCCATTCTTGCCACTAAAGGTGGACAAAAATCATGAAGAGTTAGAATTGGGGAAGATTTATAAGTAGATGTGGGCTAGTGGGTATGGTAGCCACATCAGGCATGGGGTTGTGAGATTCAGCCTGTGGGGCCATTGGAAGATGTTTGTAATAGTAGTAGAGTATGACTTTGACTTAGCAGGAATGTACTGAGGAAATGTGTATATAGAACTGGAAACATTTAACATCCAAATCCTTTTTTTTTTTTTTTTCCCGAGACAGGGTTTCTCCGTGGCTTTGGAGGCTGTCCTGGAACTAGCTCTTGTAGACCTGGCTGGTCTCAAACTCACAGAGATCCACCTGCCTCTGCCTCACAAGTGCTGGGATTAAAGGCGTGCACCACCAACACCCAGCATGTACTATCTTTTATTTTATTCTTTTTTGGGGTTTTTTTGTTGTTGTTGTTTTGTTTTTGAGACAGGGTGTTTGTATAGCCCTGGCTGTCCTGAGACTTGCTCTGTAGACCAAGCTGGCCTTGAACTCACAGGGATCCTTCTGCCTCTGCCTCTCGAGTGCTGGGGTTGAATATGTGTGTCACCACTGCCTGGCTCTTTGCTGTCTTAATTCATTTTGGTTTCCTCCTGCATCTCTGGCTTAGGTGACATTTTTGAGTCATTAGTATCACTTCTGAATTGATTAGAAACTTCATAAAGTATTTTTCAGCTGGAGATGCTGGTTAATTAAACCTTTGATTGTAGGTACTGGAGTAATGAAGGCATATTCAAATCTGTTTAAGCACAGGGAAAAACAATTTTTATTGTAACAATGTTTCACAATAATATTTTACAGAGAAAACTGGCAAGAATGGAGCTAGGTCTCTTGAAGGAGAAACTGTAGTTACCTTTCCCATCTTTCCTGACAATCTCCATCGTCATCTCATAGTTTACCTGTCTTTGGTTCAAGCATCAGGTCAAAGGCAGTAGGCAATGTTGCAGAAACAGCCACTTGAAGGAATTGACAGCTCATTGGCTCTGTGTAGCTCTGGCTGTCTTGGAACTCAGACCAGGCTGGCTTTAAACATGGAGATCCTCTTGCCTTCCAAGTGCTGGTATTAAAGGTGTGGACCACCACTGCCTGGCTATGTGTTCTTTCTTCTACATACATGGTAGGAAATGTGGGTGTTAGCTTTCCATTCCTGTAACAAACTTGTGAGTTCCAGGACAGTTAGGAGGTTACACAGAAAAACCATGTCTGGAAAGCCAACAAAAAGAGATTGACATGAAGTTGTATATTGTTGAGATGGTCTCATGTGGACTGGACTGATCTCAAATTCATTACATGGCCATACTCAACACAAGCATGAATTCTGATCTTTCTGCTCTTCCTCCCCACTTCCCAAGTGCTGAAGTTAGTATAAGTGTGCACAACCATGTCTAACTGCTGTTTTATCTTTTTGTTGCTTTTTCTTTCCTATCCAGGTTCAAAACTGAAGGAGGTCTTTGAAAAGATCCATAGCCTACTCTCCGGGAAACCTGTTCAATCTGGCGGGCGTTCTGTGTCTGTTACTCTTAACCCACAGGGGCTGGACTTTGTCCAGTACAAACTAGCAGAGAAATTTGTGGTGAGAAGCCTTATTGTCAGGGTTATGGGCCGAAGAAGCTAGTGGGCAGTGTTGAACCTTGCTGTGATACTAATTTGAAACTGTGCTCATCTTTGTGTCCTAGAAACAAGGGGAGGAGGAAGTGGCCTCTCACCATGAAGCAGCATTCCCCATTGCAGTGGTGGCATCTGGTATCTGGGAGCTCCACCCTAAAGTGGGAGACCTCATCCATGCTCATCTCCACAAGAAGTGTCCCTACTCTGTTCCTTTCTACCCAGCTTTTAAGGAAGGGATGGCCTTAGAGGACTATCAACGGTGAGATTTTGTTTTCTCTTTCACTCTACTCTCATTCTAGAGAGAGTAGAATAGAATAAGAATCTGAATTTGTTTTCAGTCTTTCTCACAGTTCTTTCTCTGTACTTTAAATGTCCTGTCAGAAACAAAATGTCTTGAGCCTTGATTGGTATTGCATATCTGTAATCCCAGGATTTGGGAGGCTAAGGCAAGTGGGTTTCAGGTTAGCCTGGGCTACATAGCAAGAATCCTGTCTCACAAAAAAAGGGGAAAAAGTAATGTCTTTCCCACAAACTGGAACCTTGGGATTTGTAGATTTGGGGGGTGGGTGGTAATTGATAATCACCATCTCTTACTGTATAGAATACTGCATCTAGAATTCTGAGTCTTAGAATTTATTCATCTTATGGCTTTGCAAAAAGGGTAAGTCATTTAGTTCTCATTGAGAAGCTATCTTAGTTAGCGTTACTATTGCTGTGATGAAATACCATAACTAAAAGAGACTTGGAGAGGAAAGGGTTTATTTCACTCCCACTTCTGTATCCAATCACATGGTGGCTCAAACCATTCATAATGTGATCTGGTGCCCTCTCCTGGCATACATGTAGACAGAACACTGTATACATAATAAATAACTAAATCTTTAAAAAAAGAAAAGAAAGTAGGTGGAGCAGGAACTCAGGCAGGACAGTAACCTGGAAGCAGAAGCTCATGCAGAGGCCATGGAGGGATGCTGCTTACTGGTATGCTCCCCTTGGCTTACTCAGCCTGCTTTCTCACAGTACCCAGGACCACTAGCCCATGGGTGGCACCACCCACAATGGACTGGGCCCTTCCTCATCAATCACTCACTAAGAAAATGTCCAGCAGATTTCCCTTACAGCTGTTTTATAGAGGTGTTTTTTCAGCTGAGGTTCCCTCTTTTCTGACGACTCTTGCTTGTGTCAAATTGTCAAAATTAGCCAGCATCAAAGCAGTTTCCTTGTTTGTGAGTTCACTGATGAGCTTTCTTTGTAAATAGAAATTTGATCAGGGATACCTGTGCTTTGTACAGATATAGTAATAATAATAGTACATAATAATAATAATACAAAGTGCAACTATTAGTTCCTTAAGTCATAAAAAGAAACCTCTTCCTCTTTTTCACCTTTATTTTGGCCTTGTCATTCTGAATCTTGCCTTCACACATAGGATGCTTGGCTACCAAGTGACAGATTCTAAGGTGGAGCAACAGGACAACTTTCTAAAACGAATGTCTGGGATGATCCGTTTGTATGCTGCCATTATCCAGCTCCAGTGGCCATATGGAAACCGGCAAGAGGTAGGTAGAACAGCCTTTGGAGCTATGGTGAGGCAAAGCATTATGGAAGATGCATGGGCAGAGCTGCTATGGCAGTTTGTTACTGAAAGATGCAAAAAACTTTTGGGGTGGGGGTCCATCCCCAATGACCTAAGTTTCCAACTGGGCTAAACTTCTTAAAGGTCCCACACTTTACAGTAATGCCACAGGCTGGTGACCAAGCCTGTAACCTGGTCTTTATGGGCTCTGTCCATCATAGAGGCTGTGCTGTGGAATGATGGGTAAAGAGTGTGGTAGCTTCATGGGTGTATTTTAGAGAAGCGGGTATTGATTCTTAGGCAGCTTTTTTGAATCAACACTTTTTGAATCAACAAGAAAGTTCAGTTGCTCCTTCAGCTGAGGCCATAAAGAACTAATCTTAGAACAGAGTTCATAAGTCATGACATTTATAAAAGTTTCATCCAGCTGTGGCATTACTGTCTGTAATCCCAACACCAAGAAGCTGTGGCAGAAGGATTGCAAGTTCCAGATCACTCTTGGCTACACATGAGACCCTGTCACTACAATACCACAATCAGACAAAAAGTCAGGTGTATGTGGGGAGGCATAGTGACACACCTTTAATACAGCATTAGAAGGCATGGACAGTTAGTTCAATGTCAGCTTGGTCTACAAAAATTTTCCAGGCCACCCAATGCTATTAAGACCCTGTCTTGCCGGGCGTTGGTGGCGCACGCCTTTAATCCCAGGACTCGGGAGGCAGAGGCAGGTGGATCTCTGTGAGTTCCAGGCCAGCCTGGTCTACAAGAGCTAGTTCCAGGACAGCCTCCAAAGCCACAGAGAAACCCTGTCTCAAAAACCAAAAAAAAAAAAAAGACCCTATCTCAAAACAAAAACAACAAAAAACAATCCTTCCAAACCAAAATAAACAACAGACTTGTAAGATGATTACCCCTTTACTCCCATCTTGGGAGAGTGGGCCAGGGAGGATAGCCACGAGTTTGAAGTAAGCCTGGGTGACAAAGTTCTTTGTTTTTGTTTTTTGTTTTTTTGAGACAGGGTTTCTCTGTGTAGCTTTGGAGCCTGTCCTGGCACTCACTCTGTAGACCAAGCTGGCCTCGAACGCACAGAGATCTGCCTGCCTCTGCCTCAGGCGTGTGCCACCAACACCCCACTCTGGGTGACAAACCCATCTGAAAAATAAACAAACCTCCCTGAACATGAAGCTGATGCTTATATATCAAAGGAATCCTATAAAGAATTGTGGGAGGGGGCTGGAGAGATGGCTCAGAGGTTAAGAGCACCGGCTGCTATTCCAGAGGGCCTAAGTTCAATTCCCAGCAACCACATGGTGGCTCACAACCATCCATTATGAGATCTCGTGCCCTCTTCTGGTGTGCAGATATAGTGGAAGCAGAATGTTGTATATATAATAAATAATAAAATCTTAAAAAAAAAAAAGAATTTGTGGGAGCCTGCACATGGATCATAATATTTTTTAAAAAACAAATGATCAACTAGACTTTGAAGATCTTCCATGAAAGGCATCATCCTCCCTGGGGAGCAGAAAGGGGATTGGATAGGGGGTCGGTGGGGCAAAGGGGAGGAAGGGAGGGAGAGGGAACTTGGATTGATATGTAAAACAAGATTGTTTCTAATTTAAATTTAAAAAAAAATAAAAGATTAACTTTAGTTCTTCTGTTCTGTCATGTATGCATGGGCCAGGTGATCTTGGGGTTCATGATTAATGGCTGAGTGATTCCATTGAGAGTTTATGCTGTGAATAAAATGAGGTGAAGTCATGACACAGCTGCTTTCCTTTCAGGCTCATCCCCATGGCTTAAATCATGGCTGGCGCTGGTTGGCACAGATCTTAAACATGGAGCCTCTGTCAGATGTGACAGCCACCCTGCTGTTTGACTTTTTGGAGGTAATTCGGTTATCAGATGAGAGAAAGCCAGTGACTGAGGCAGCTTTCAGGACAGGGGTAAAATGAATGGGGAGGCAGCCAGAAGTGGACAGGGCTAGGCTGCTGTCACCCAGCTCTTTCTAACTTCTACTCTTTCTCTCAGTGTCCTTGACTTATCTTTCACTTAGGCTAGGATGGACCATTGTCTTCTCTTTATAATGTCTCAGAGTCCCTAAAGGCTTTATAGCTGGCAAGGGAAACAGATTAGGTGAGAGCAGAATGAGACTCAGTTCAGCCCAGTGCTGAGCCAGGACTTCTTGGAGTCTGACATGAGCTCATAGATTTTTGCCATATATAAGCGCAGCACAATTTTGGAAAAAAGTTTTCAGATAGTAACTCAGTCCTGTGAGTACAACAAAGCTTAAGACATGCTTATATTGATGTTCTTTACAAAGTACATATGGCTGCATTCCCTAAAATGGGTTCTTGATACTCAGAAAACAATGCTCAAGATAAGGGTCTAGGAGAATGACTGAGGTAAACACAGTGCCCGTAGGAGTCAGGGTTGGCCTGGCCCTAAGAGAACATAGAAGTCCTTTAGACTGTTGTAAAATACACGTGACATCTGTCACAAGGATGAGTTTTACGGTGTTAAGTAATGCTCAAGGTTTAAGAGGAAAGAGCCTGGGATAAGTTAAACCTAAATTCTGTAAAGATACAGGCTGAGCTTGGCTCATCAAACAGCAAAGGATCACCAGGTTGTTGACTGCATCCATTCTCAGAATGCCAGGAGGAGGACGGGTTAAAAATATCTTTCCTTTGAAGGATGCTGTGAGTTTAACTTTCCTGGCGGCTGCTGCTGCTGCTTCTTCTTTTTGGAGGTTTTTTTTTTTTTCTTCTTCTTCTTCGAGACAGGGTTTCTCTGTAGCTTTGGAGCCTATTCTGGCACTCGCTCTGGAGACCAGGCTGGCCTCGAACTCACAGAGATCGACCTGCTTCTGCCTCCCGAGGGCTGCACCACCCTCACCTGGCTTGCGCCACTGACACCCGGCCCTGGCTTCTTCTTTACTGATTTGTGTGTACAAGCACTTTCTGCCCTCTACAATCATGTATATCCTAACCTAAGTAGAAAGCAGGCTTCATTTTAGGGATATAGAATTGAATAGTGGAACCATGGTAGACTGAGCAGGTGAGTCTCCTGAGACAATGGAAACAGTCTCCCTGGATCTAGTCTTCCATAAACATTCTTGCTTTGTAAGCCCTCTTTCCTTGCTTCTCTGTGCATTGGTGAGGATGCAGCTATCCTGGGCTATCACCCAGTCTCAGTTTGGTTACCCAGTGTGGAGGGATCAGTATCTTACTGTTCTCATTCCTACTTTCTAGGAAGAAAAATGCAAGCTTGGGTCAGGTATCTCCCTCCCTGGAAATCATATATCCCTGCCCTTAAGAAATCACCACTCTGACTTTCGGGCCTGGAATTTACTATACTTCAGGCTGCCCTATACTTCAGAGATCCACTTGTCTTTGCCTCCTCAGTAATATGATAAAAGCATTCACCACCACACCCAGCTGAAGGAACCACATCTTAAATAAGCTTCAGGGAACTGGGCATGGTACTCCTTTGACTATAATCCCAACACAAGGGAGGCTAAACAGGAGGATCACAAGTTTGAGACCAGTCTGAGATACCCAGTGAAGTCTTGCCTCAAATGAATGAATACTCAGAGTTCATGTCCTGACAAATCTGAGGCCCTTAGGCCTGTAATTCAGTTCTTAGTTAGCATATGACTCCTGAAGTCATGTCAACATTGAGCCTGCGTCTTTGAGGCAAGCAGTGTTCTGTATTCTTACTAGACTAAGAGGGATACCATGAAATATTTGTTAAGCCTTGATACTTGACTTAAATTAGAAGAAAGTTGGATTTTTCTTTAATGTTATGAAGGGACTTTGGGTCTTGTGCTTCCTAGACAATGTCCACAAATGAACTACATCACCCGCATAGAAAGGTGGGTCTTTCCTGCCTAGTCCGTAGCTAGCGAAGTGATGCTATGGCTAAGCTGTTTTCCACCTATTCCCTAGTTAGCTAAGTGATGCCTCCCTAGTTAGCTAAGTGATGCCGTGACTGAGATGTTTGATAGGAGTGGTAGGCAAAGGAGTGATTGTGCTTCTCTCATGAGTTAATTTTTGTTCTCTGCTCTCACAGGTTTTTTTGTTTTGTTTTTTTTGAGACAGGGTTTCTCTGTGTAGCCTTGGCTGTCCTGGGACTCTCTTTATACACCAGGGTGGCCTCAAACTCACTGAGTTCTGCCTACCTCTGCCTCCTGAGTGCTGGGATTAAAATAGTATGCTGCCACCTTCTCCTCCAACACCACCTAGCTGCTCTCACAGTTTTTACTTTCCCTCTAGGTGTGTGGGAATGCCCTCATGAAGCAGTACCAGGTCCAGTTCTGGAAGATGATACTTCTCATCAAAGAAGACTACTTCCCCAGGTATTGGCTTGTTGAGCAGACTACTGGGGAGTTAGTAGGTAACATTTGGAAGCCATGCACCATGAGTTCCTAATTGCTAGTACATTGTGTGTTTGTGGGTGGGGTGGTATCTGGGATGAGTTTTTATTTTTTTGTTTTCTCTTGTTCTTTTGTTGAGTCTCTGTAGCCCAGACTGTCCCAGAACTCCTACCAATCCTGTCTCAGCCTTCTTTTTTTTTTTTTTTCCGTTTTTTGTTTTTTGTTTATCGAGACAGGGTTTCCCTGTGGCTTTGGAGGCTGTCCTGGAACTAGCTTTTGTAGACCAGGCTGGTCTTGAACTCACAGAGATCCGCCTGCCTCTGCCTCCCCAGTGCTGGAATTAAAGGCGTGCGCCACCACTGCCTGGCCTCAGCCTTCTTTTTTATTTTTTCTTCTCTCATACAATATACTCCGACTGCAGCTTCCCTCCCTCCACTCCTCTCACATCCCCCATAGCCCCCTCGCCTAAACCCACTCCCCCAACCCCTGCTTCTTCCCAGAAAAGAACAGGCCTCCCAGGGACATCAACCAAACACATCACAACAAGGTACGAGAAGACCAGGCACAGACCCTCACTCACATCACGGCTGTTTGAGGCAACCCAGTATGTGGAAAGGGATCCCAAGAGCAAGCAAAAGAGTCAGACACCCCTAGTCTCACTGTCAGGAGTCTCCCCAAAACCCATGTAAACAACCATAACATATATATGCAGAGGACCTACCTATTGCAGACTTATGCAGGCTGCACAATTGCCAATTCAGTCATTCTAAGCCTGTGAGCCCTGCTTAGTTGTTTGTGCCGGCTGTGCTCTCCTGCTGTCTTCACTGGCTCCCACAATTCTACCACCCTCTTCTTTGGGGTTTACTGAGCTCTGAGGGAAGGGACCCAGTAAAGACCTCCAACCTATGCAGGCTTTCTGCCTAATGTTTGGCTGTGTATCTTGTGCATGGTTTATTTTATAGTTATATTTGTTTTTGTTTTGTTTTGTTGATTGGTGGGGCTGGAAGTGGAACTTGTGCATGCCACAGTGTACAATGAAAGTCAGGATAGTGTGTGGGAACTGGATTTTTCTTTCACCTTGTGGATTCCTGGGATCAAATTCAGGTAACTCAGACTTGGTGGCAGGAACTTTAACCCCTGCTAAGCCAGCTTTCCTATCTAGTGTGTGGTATTTTTGACTGAAGTGAAAAATGATCTAGGTTAAGTGGTTGGGCATGTGTCCAACATGAGCAAGGGCCTGGGCTTGATCCCCATGATGCAGACAGGAATCTGTTTAAAGATAATGCTTCTGGCCAGTCATGGCTCACGTCTTTAATCCCAGCACTCAGTAGGCAGAGGCAGGCAAACAGAGGTCAAGGCTAACCCTGGTCTACAGACCTAGTTCCAAACTGTGTGTTTGTACACTTACAAATGTTCTTAAACACACACAAACACAAATACACAATATATGCATGTGCCCTGAGAGGTCGGAGGTGTTGGAATTACAGGCAGTTATGAGCTGCCCTTCATGGGTGCTGGGAATTGAACTCAGGTCCTCTGCAAAACCAGTAGGTACTCTTTTTGGTTTTTCAAAGAGTTTCTCTGTAGTTTTCGAGCCTGTCCTGGTAATAGCTCTATAGACCAAGCTGGCCTTGAACTCAGAGATTGGCCTGCCTCTGCCTCTGCTGGGATTAAAGGCGTGTGCCACCAATGCTGGCCACCCCAGGGATTCTTTTGTTGCTGTCCCAAGCTCATGTACCACTGTACATGCCCCCACCTCTGGCTTCTATATGTGTTCTGGGGATGGAACTCACCTACTCTTCATGCTTATGCAATATGTGCTTTACCAATTGAGCCATCTTTTCAGCCTGCTTTTGTTTTGTTTTTTAAGAGAGGGTCTTCACTCTCTAGTCCAGGCTGAACTTGGTACATACTATATAGCCAAAGGTGACACTGTACTCTTGTTGCTTCTGCCTCCTGTGTGCTAAAGATTACTGTACATGACCATACTTGACTCTATTGTGTTTAAATGTAATTTGTAAACTTCCCCATATAATCTGGAATCGTGATTACAAGTAGTCATGAATTGAACCATGGAGCTGAGTCCCTCATTAAGTCAGTTGGAGAAACTGATCTGCCTACCAGATTGCCTGACTGTGGTGTGGTTTTCATCTATTCACCTTAAAGTCCTCTTCTAAATTCATTGGGATTTCAAGTACGGGGAAGACTCATCCTACCTGATCAAAAAGACCTCAGAACAGAGAATCATGTCCTCTCCTTTGTCCCTTTGGAAGAATAGCAAAGACTATCTGGAAGACCAGCCAGCATTTTTTGTTTTGTTTTGCTTGCTTGTTTTTGAGGCAGGGTTTCTTTTTGTAGCCTTGGCTGTCCTAGAACCCACTCTGTAGACCAGGCTGGCCTCGAATTCACAGAGGTCTGTCTGCCTCTGCCTACCAAGTGCTGGGATTCAAGATGTGTGCTACCATTTCCTGGAACAGTCAGCATTCTTTAGAAGAGTCAGTGGATCTAGTCCTCACCTGACCAAAGCATGGTGGGATTCAATCTCTCTCTCCCCCTCTCTCTCCAGAATTGAAGCCATCACAAGCTCAGGACAGATGGGTTCATTCATACGCCTGAAGCAGTTCTTGGAGGTAAGATGTTCTATTCCAACATGCCTTAAACTATAGCCTTAGACATACTCGTGTCCCTCAGTCTTAGGCTTCCAGACCTCATAGCTATCTCTTCTGTTTGCCCCCACTATGCTTTTTGTTCATAATTCCCCTTGCATTTTAGACCAAAGTATGTCTTTTCAACCCCACATACCGTTCTCCACACTGCCTATCAGGCAGCTGTCCTAAAAGATTAGTTGACCGTAAGGTATATGTAACAAATCACTCGAACACTTTTTTTGCTTGTCAGCCAAGGTTCTTCTGTCAGACTCAGGTGTAGGGAACTATTGAGTGTGTCTGCTTTGTCCGTGAGATCATACTGCTTGTTCAGTTGGAGTCTTCCTTTATTTCCAAATACCGAGACATTTTAAAAGGTTGATTTTTACAGATCATACAGAACTCTATAGTAGGTCTGCCAAGGTAGTCCACTGGCCACCAGCTTCTAGGAGCCCATAAAATAATGATGGTGAGCCAGACAGTGGTGGCACACATCTTCAATCCCAGCACTCGGGAGGCAGAGACAGGCAGATCTCTGTGAGTTCGAGGCCAGCCTGGTCTACAAAGTGAGTTCCAGGACAGGCTCCAAAGCCACAGAGAAACCCTGTCTCGAAAAACCAAAAATAAATAAATAAATAAAAGAGTAGTG